TTTACAGCCCCTCAAATTGAGGGGGGTTAAAACTTTATACAGTCATAATTTTTGAAAAATAAGAAATTATTGGATGAAGTTTGAAATTTGCTGATGATTATAAACTTAAATAAAAGTACTAAAAAAATTATTTTATCAACTTGTTGCTCCCATGTTAAGGGCTGGGTGAGCCTGAAAATTGGGATTATAGAAAACGAAAAGTACATACATCCACTATCAAATAGCCTGACTCGCAAGGGAGTGCTGCTACATCGACTAAGGGTTTGGTTAGCCCAGGCATCATAGTCAGGCTTAGGGTTAGGGTTACGGCAAGGTTTAAATTTGGTTATATTATTGTAATTAATTGTTTTTGTAAATAGATGAAGTTAAAAATGAAATTTGATACAAAATAAATAAATAAAAATAACAAAAATTAATATAAAAAATATATTTTTATAATAAAATAATAAATTTAAATATGTATAAATAAAAATAGAAATAAAATAAAAGTTAAAAAAATATATATAAATATGATAAAAATAGTATAAAAAAATAAAAATTGTATAAAAACAACAGAACAGGAACAAAAAAAACATCCCTGAAAGTCGCGACTAGGATGCTATATATATATATATATATATATATATATATATATATATATATATATATATATATATATATATATATATATATATATATATATATATATATATATATATATATATATATACCACTATATATTTGTTCTTCCAGCTTTTTTACCAAAGAATGAGCTGCATACTATTAATTAAATTGTCAGACATTTTGTACAGCTAAAAAAAAAGTCAAATGCACAGAATGCAGCTATTATTATGAAAATGACAAATGATATATTGGAATTATGGAACATGGCATGCATTCCTATCGTTCATCCTAAAACACTTAAATATTGACTTACTGTCATAATAAATAAAGGAGTGAGTTTAAACCAATCAAAATCAAGTAGAGTACAATTACAAAAGTTTACTGCAACTTTTCCATTGTTATTTGGCATTTGTTCTTGTAAGCGCCAACTCCATGTTGAGAATTTTTCTAGAGATATAACTGCAGATTGTAAATATGTGAAAGAAAAGAAAGTTTCACAAAGGGAGTTAAAATTCTTACATGACCAAAGATCTATACATAAAAATGTACATTGTGGAGTAAACATTAAAATTACCAGAAAAGTTGGATAATTGGATGAAAGAAAGCTAACTTTAAAGAATAGAGAAAGTGCTGAAAAACACAGAAAAGCTGATATAACAGAAGCAGGCTTTTTAGGCTAACACATAGACTTATTGAGTTATGATGAAACAGAGAATGACAATCAATGCGACAATGAATTCAGAGATAATGCAAGTGTGAAAATGTGAATGAGGCAGTCAAATAAGATTTACATATTTCAAGTTAAGGAACTAGTAAACAAATGAGGGTATTTTTACCAAATCTAGCAAGAGAAGCTGACAGATATGGTGTGTCAAATCGTGCTGCAGCCTCACTTGCCACAGCTGTGTTGGTGGATTTTGGTGTTGTTACTAATAAAGACCAAAATAAAGTTATTAATAAAAATAAATTAAGAAAAAAGAGGATAAAGTCAAAAAAGCAGTTTCAAGAAAATGATAATACATGCACTGATAAGATTTCTTCTCTATATTTTGATGGTAGAAATGATGACACATTAACCAGGAGAGAGAAGCAGATAAATGGTATATAGATACTAAAAAAGTAGAGCATTATGTTTTGGTTGCAGAACCTGAAAATAAAAACGTTGCAGACTGTATATTGTCAGAAGTTAACAAAATGGATAAGCCTCCCAATATACAAGTTGTTGGTTGTAATACTAATTTAAACACTGGATTTAAATGGAGGAGTAATACAAAACTTGGAGAAAGCAGAAATGAACTCCCATTAAGACATTTATATAACTAGATGGTCCAACATAGAGCAGAAGTTTAATTACAGGAACAATCGGTAAATCCACTTAGATATATGAAAATTGCCTGTTGTAAAATTTTAATCTATTATAGATAGATTTCAGTAAAGATCAGCAGTATATGTACAGCATTATTTTTTTCCATAAGAGTAGAAATAGTAACCACAAAGATTGCCAAGAAAAAACCTATAAATAATAGTAGGTGGTTAACTCTTGCTAATAGAGTTTGCAGACTTTATGTATCCATAATTAATCCGGATCAAAATCTAAAGTTAATAACTCAGTTCAGCATCCTTCACTACAAACCAAGTTGGTTTGCTACTAAGTTTGAATCCCTCTGCTTTAATGGACCCAAGCATGTGTTTCTGGCTTTACAGTTATTGAAAAATTTACTTTCGTTGGTTGTCAATATTGTTAAACCTTACATTGAACCAATTGCCTGAAAGCCATCCTGAAAACATTCCTTTATTAATGATGACTGACCTCAACAAAAACTTCTTAAATGAAGAAACCAGTTTTTAAAGGCGACCTTTAAGATTAGAAAATTTCAAGTACCAGAAATCAGTTTAAATGCTAATGACTATGACAATCAAATTAAATTGGATGTTGTTCAAATCACAGAACCACCAATTATAATCAAAACAGATTAATGATCAAACAGATTCAATCAATTACTTCTTGCAATTAATTCCTACCCAAATCACACACATTTCTTGTAAAATGTTCAGTTAAAAAAATGGACCACATACTTTTTTTTTTGTTACAGGCTTCTTCTCCACATTAAGTTGCACCAAAAAACAGTTTTCCATTAAAAACAATTTCACCCGAACCTAATATATATATATATATATATATATATATATATATATATATATATATATATATATATATATATATATATATATATATATATATATATATATATATATATACATATATATATATACATATATATACATATATATATATATATATATATATATATATATATATATATATATATATATATATATATATATATATATATATATATATATATATATATATATATATATATATATTCTGATAATATCCTATATCTAATAGTTTGAAAAGAATTGCTGTTTTTTTAATATATTTTATTTAATATTTTATGAGTATGATATGAAAAGATAGCCATTTAATAAGATAGATTTTTCCACTTTAAAATGCATTAGTTTTAAACCATCATAAAATTGTTAATTAATTTTTACATTATTTTTATTATCATTATTTTTTTTTTTCTATAAATAGTTGAAAAAACTTTTACTGAAAAAAAATCTTTTCACTTATTCTAAATATGAAAACTATATATATATATATATATATATATATATATATATATATATATATATATATATATATATATATATATATATATATATATATATATATATATATATATATATATATATATATATATATACATATATATATATATATATATATATATATATATATATATATATATATATATATATATATATATATATATATATATATATATATATATATATATATGTATATGTATATGTATATATATATATATATATATATATATATATATTTATATATATAAACTATATATACATTATAAATAAACTATATATATATATATATATATATACATAAAGTATATAAGTATATAAGTAAACATAAAAAGTGTAAGTATATAAGTAAAAATATAAGTAAACTATATATACATTATAAATATATATATATTTATAAAGAAGTATATGTTTTTGTATTTTTTATAAATATTGTGCTATAATATATATATATATATATATATATATATATATATATATATATATATATATATATATATATATATATATATATATATATATATATATATATATATATATATATATATATATATATATATTTGCTAGTTATAATAATGCAATGTGAGCTCAATTTGAGTTCCAATTGGCTCACATGAAGTAGCCCATTTGTGGATGAGTCATGGCAGCAACTATGCTAGAGGTTGTCCAGTCCATTCTTTAACACATTGACCGTGTTTAAAGTACTTTTGAATAGCAATTTTAAATAGTTCACATTTCAGTTAGTGAAAAAACTGCTCCAAAGTGCACTATTAGGACTATTGGGGACTAATACTTTGCTAAGTTGTACTTGGCCAGTGCTTGGCTCTCTTGTGATTGTTGGTACAAATCATTTCACTTTGCCAATTTTTTTTTTATAATTTTGAGTTCTTGAATGAGGTCGCCTCTTTGTTGACACAAATTAAGACTAGTTATTTTGAGTTTGATAAGCTTTTCTTAATAGCTATGTTGTCTCATTGCGTGCCCAATCTTGGTGGCTTGTCGCTGAACTTTTTGAAGTACTTTTTTGTCAATAGTGACCAAGTGCATATTATAAATGTGGTCTAACATATGTTGTATAGAACTTCTTCCATAGTGTAAGTTCTCACAATATAAAAGTATTTTCTATAGACCCAGAATTTTATTTGCAGTTGATGCAGCTTTATTTACTATATTACTAAGATCCTAACTTATTATTACTCCTAGATCTTTTTCTATTATTGTTAGGTCTTGTTTTGCATCTGATAGTGGACCTAGCATAATGTATTTTGCTGATTTGTTTACTTACTAATGTGCATCTTTTTTGTGTTATTATATTATTTATAATATAATAATATAAGCCAGTTTGGTGCTTTTAGTTAAGTGTTATCCAAAAACATTTTGCAACTAGAGTTAATGCAGTCTGGAGGACTCTTGAAGATAGCAACTAGAGTTGATCCTAGCAAAGATCCTTGGATAACACCATTAGACACTGATACCCACCCTGATAATGTATTGCCGAAAACGACTTGCTGTCATCCATTTGTTAAAAATGAGCAATCCAATAAATTAATAAAAAATAGATAAAAGATCTATTTATTATTTAATTTAGGATTAGTACGTTGTACAAAAATAAAATAAACTACAGTAGTATAGAGTACTGAGTAAAATGTACACAACAATTACAATATATATAAAATTACAGATTAATACCTTTATCAAAAAAATAAAAAAATAAAAAAACAAACTTTTTTGTTTTCAGTTCGAGATACTGCATAGTAATCCATTGCATCTTTTGCATTATCATAGAAACCTTTATACAATAAATATGCACATATCATTGTGCCTGTGCGCCCCTAAAAAATTTGAAACTTTGTTATTAGTAATATGTTTTTTTGCAGTTTCTCCAGGTCCAACCCACCTACCACACTTATGTTGGGCCAAGGGATGTAAAACCATAGCAAACGTCTGCTGTTTTTTCCAATACAAAACCAACGTTGATCCAATATGATTTGTTTAATGATGAAATTAATATCAATGGAACTAAAAACAGCTGGCATTTAGATTGGTCCAACGTATGTAAAAACATTGCAAAAAGTTGATTGTTTTAACGATGTGAACCCAATGTTAATTCAATTATATTAACCCGGCGTTGACTTAATATGTATAAACCAACATCGAATTGTTAATGTAAAAACATTGCAAAAAGTTGATTGTTTTTAGAATCTAAAAACAACATTATTCCAATGTATATAACTCAACTTTGATTTAATATGTATAAATCAATGTTGATCCAATGTATGTAAAAACACCGCAAAAGTTTGATTTTTTTTTAAAAACCTAAACCCAACGTTGATCTAATTTTATTAACCCGTCGTTGATTTAATGTGTATAAACCAAAGTTGATTTAATGTATATACACTAAAACAATGTTGATCCATACATTGGAACAATGTTGGATTTTATACAGTGGTTTGCATCAAGAAAAGGTAGATGTGCAATTAAACTTTTGTATAATTTACGAGAATTATTTTTCATTTAAATATTTCAGTTGATTATGGAAATATATTTTGTTAATATATTTTTCTCTTTTTTGAAGAAATATTAAGCCAGAAGCAAAACAAACATAAATAATGTCTCTTTAATCAGATGCAATATGATAAGTATAAATATATCTCATAAGCAATGTTAATTCGTCATCAAAATGGCGGAAATATGTAAGTATAAATGTATAAATACACATATACAACTATATATGCATATAAAGTTATAAAATTATATGTTTATATCTATATGTTTAACATAAAACAAATATATTTAATTCCAATAAAAGGTAAATATAAAGTTGTGCAAACGTAAAATGTAACATTGAATCAACTTAAAGTACAATGTTTTGCCAACGTAAAATACAATGTTGTACCAACATAAAATACAACAATCAATCAACATAAAACATGCGCAATGTTAACTTAAAATACAATGTTGAATCAAAGTTGTTTTTTGGTTGTTGGTAACATCGCATTTGTAACCAAAATGATATAAAACCAACATTGGCAGTCGATGTTGGGCTGACACAACAAACAACATTGTTCTTTCGTTTTATCAACATATGTGTGCTAACTGGGAAGTTGGGCACCTGGTACATCAATAAATTCAGAATATAAATCAAGTTAGATACCTGCCACTTTTATTTCCAAGGTAACTGGGAAAAAATACCAGGTACCTGCCGGGTACCAGTGAGACGGGTAGTCATCGTCTCTCTATACGGGCATTTTCCTGAGGTACCCAGTATATATAAGTGTTAGGTACCTAGCTTGGATTATTTTAGCAGTTTTTGCCTGTCTTGGACCTGGAAAGAACCACCAAAAAACATGGATCAAGTCAATTACCAGGTACATCTTTAATTATTATATCTACTATTAAATAAATAAAAGAAAAGCATCAATCTATTTCTATTTATTTTAAATATAGTTATACCTATTTCTTTGCAACAAAACATCAAGTACATATAAATTAAATCAAATTTTATAAAGTTTATAGTTTATTTATGCTTTACCTTTCCATCTTTGCAGTGAACTATTGCAACATTTTCAACATCTTTAGTCAACCAATTATCCATATCAACACAAGATTGTTCAATAAGTTCAAAAGGTGGTGCACAATGATCTTTAAAGCCAAACACAGAAACTAGAAAAAAAAGATAATAAAAGATTTTTGAAAGACTTTAAACATTTCAAAAATTATATTTAAATAATATTTTTAAACAAAACTTTTTTATAAATTTAGCAAAAATTTTTTAAAAATCATAAAAGTATAGAATTAAGAAAAATTGTGTTTATTGATGTTTTAAATTAAATAAATAAAACTCTCATAGAACATGTTGTCATTTTAAACATATAAATATATATATCTTATTTAAAACATATTTAAACATAAACCTTATTTAAAACATATATCTTAATTCTTTTTTACCTTAAATAAATTTCACCATAATTTTTTTCTTCAATAAGTAAAATTGTACATAAATTTAATATCAATTTTTTAAAAAATAATTTTTTTTTTTAAATAATATTTTTTAATTAGAAGGATTGGATTTATTTATATATATCAGGTGACCACTATGAAATGCATATATGCAATGGTCAAAAAATATATACACAAAAATACATTAAGAAATAAAAAAAAATTAAATAAAACGCAAAAAAAACTTTCAAACTTTTTATTGAGTGTATTAAAGATTGAAACAGTTCTGTGTCATGACACATGAATCTGTCTCATATTTTAATAATAAAAACAATTATTGCAAAAAAAAATTTTTATTTATAATTCAAAATTATAACCAAAAATTTTTTTATTTATAATATAAAACTATTATTACCGTAGATGGGGGTAACTAAAGCCTACGGGGAAACTAAAGCCATTATAGCAGGTAATTTTTGGATGGTGATAGTGGCAGCACTGTTTGGATTCAACAGCTGATGTTGTGTTCTTCTAATAGGAACTTGGACTGCTTTCCAAATACTTGTCTGGATTATTAAAACAATATCACGGTAAGTGTACAGTAAAACTATATATTTAACCTAAAAAATCGATAAAAAAGTTACCTTGCATAACTTCTGCTCTGAACAAATCATTTTTAATCTTAAATTCTCATAACTCTCAACAAACATAACCTCAATTTATGTTTCATCACACCTTTAAAGGTTATAACCTATAACTTGATTCTTTCTTTTGTTGTGATATTTTTTTTTTCAGTGATACACAACATGGGGTAACTAAAGCCACATCATAAAGGTGGCTTTTGTTACCCCATACTTTATAATAAGTCAAAATTCCTTAAGTAATAAATTTTTTCTCTTTTTTAGGACTAAAAATGCCTCGAAACCCAAAGAAGAAGCTTGGTAGCCGGATGTATAAGGATTACACAGATAAAACGCTGAAAATAGCTGTAGAAGAAGTGAAGAAAGGGTCATCTTTAAGAAAGATTGCTGAGAAATTTGCTATATCAAGATTTGCTCTCACTGCTGCCCTGAAAGGTAAGGTTAACAAATGTGGTAGGCCTCTAGTTCTTAATTCTGAAGAAGAAAGAAGATTAGTTGAATCTATAAGCATGGCCGGAGAGTGGGGATTCCCTCTTACAGCACTAGACATAAGACTAATAGTGAAAGGTTACCTGGATCGGTGTGGCCGAAATGAAGTTAGGTTCAAAAACAATATGCCTGGAGTTGATTTTATTGACAGTTTTCTCAAAAGAAACAGTAAAGATCTTTCCAAACGGTTGGGTCAAAACATTAAAAGAAGTCGAGCAGCTATCAGTAGGGACATTGTGAATAACTACTTTAATGAACTAGAAAAGACATTAAAGGATGCTGATCCATCAATGATAGTAAACTACGATGAAACCAACATGACTGACAACCCAGGGAGAAAACAAGTGATCGTGAGAAGGGGATCAAGGCATCCAGAGTGTATAGTAGATTCTTCTAAGTCTAGCACATCAGTAATGTTTTCTGGAAGTGCAAGTGGAATGCTACTGCCTCCTTATATAACTTATAAGGCAGCCCATCTGTATGACTCTTGGACAGAAAATGGTCCAGCAGGCACTGTGTATAATAGATTGAAGAGCGGGTGGTTCACTCTGGAAATTTTTGAAAACTGGTTTCAGAGATTAGCTTTGCCCTACTTTAAAAAATTTGACAGTGATGCCAAGAAGGTTTTAATAGGAGACAATTTGTCGAGTCACATCTCTGCCCATATTTTTGAAGAATGCAACAAAAATAACATCAAGTTTGTACTGCTACCTCCTAACAGTACACACTTCACACAGCCTTTAGATGTGGCATTCTTTAGGCCATTAAAAATAAAATGGCGCCAGACTTTGACAGAGTGGAAAGAGGCTAATCGTGGCTCTATTGCAAAAGACAGGTTTCCAAGACTTCTGAAAAAGTGCCTTGATGCTTTGGGAGAGGAAAACATAAGCAAAAACTTAAAAGTGGATTTAAGGCAGCTGATATTGTACCTTAAGACCGAAATGAAATTCTGAAAAGGCTTCCTGATGGTGATGCCACTGCAGTATCTGAAGAGCTTAATTCAAGCAACATCTGGACTGATTCTATCAAAGCCTTTTTTGAAGAAAGTAGGAAGAGAGAGACCGAACCTCTTAAACAGCGAAAGAAAAGGAAACTTAATGTCCCAGCAGGAAAGGGGATTGAAGGGATTGAAGACACAATTCTGATCAATGATGATGATCCTCAACCAAATAGGTCCAATACACCCAATACCAAAACAAAGGAAAACCACAGCAAACAAAATTTTTTGAAACATAATAAGAAACTTGCGAATTCCGACTCATTTGATGATAGTGATGACCAGTATTCTTTGAGAGACTCTAACTCAGATATGAATCCAGAAACATTTAGTGACCTGGAATCGGAGATACCAGTAGATCTACAACTAGAAGAAACAACTTATGACGAACCCCCAAAATAGGAATCTCTAAAGGAGAACTTAAACCTGATATTTACGTCATTGTTGAGCTCATCTTTGATAAGAACACAAAAAAAGAAACCACCAAATAGTTCTATGGAGTCATTCTTAAAACTTGTTTTGAGAAGAACGAAGTTACAGTAAAGTTTTTCAGAAGAAGCTCCAAATCAAAAGAAAATGACTATATATTTCCAAATGTTGATGACAAAATGGACATTCAGTTAACAGACGTCATTTCAATTGTGAAACCATCCAAAGTAAACAGAGGACGTTATACTTTTCCTTATGAACTACCGGTAAAGCACTGATTTCAACAAGACCTGTTTTAAATAATATTTTTGTCTCTTTTTAATGTTTTTCTTAAATAATAAAGCTTTTTTCTTGTCAATAGTGGTTCTTTATTGTTACAGATGCATGATTTATGGATTTAGTTACCCTAGCACTCTCTAACTAAAGCCAAACATTGCTTTTTAATGGATGGCTTTTGTTACCCCTTTTCCAGGGGTAACTAAAGCCACCATGTTTTCATTTTTTTTATTAAAAAAATGTATATTTCTGCAATTTATGAATATATTTCTTTAATATATGACCAAAGACCCAAGTTTTGCAATATTTATTTAACCTATAAATTAAAGGGTCTGACTTGGGCAGAAGTTTGAATTTCGAAAGTGGCTTTAGTTCATCTACGGTACAAGGTAAAGTATATAATTAAGCTGGACTTTAATAAAGACATTAATTTATATTTCTTACTTGTTTTAAAAAAAGATGTTTTTCAAACCTATAAGTAAAATAAAAAACTTTATTGTATGTATTTACTTTTTTAAAAAGTTAATACATGCAATAAGCATTATTTCTGCATGCAATGATCATTTAATTTATAACTATTTGAAAACTACTTGACGGATTTTTGTAATTTTTTGTTGCAATGTAGATAATTGTCTATTTTTATCATTATATATTTGATGCAATTTAGGTAATTATGTATTTATATCAATAGTTTTAAAATTTTTATTGGACGCTTAGATGGAAACCAATTATTTTAGAAAGTACCTGACTTGTGAAATTTAAATGATTTTAACTGGTTAGATTTTAATTTTTTAGTTTTTATAGTTTGCTTTAAAAACATTTTTCAGTTTTATATTTTGTGTGAGCTTCTGTTTGACCCATTTTGTCTTTTTTATAAAGGAAAATCAAATAGACAATTTTTTTTTTGTAAACAACAAAAAATATGTATAAGAAAACAATCATCAACAATGTTTTTTTTTTTGATACTTTTTCACTAAAACATCCTAAAGTTTTCTATAAAAAGTAGCATTTTACTAATTTTTTTTTTATTTCCATTTTAGTATATTTTTTGCTAAATTGTACTAAATGAGTACATAACAAGGCAAGCGCGGGCTTTAGCCTGCCCATTCGTACCAGGACCTGCGTAAGCATCTCTTTTTTTTCTGCTAGCTACCAATATAAAAAAGCAAAAACTTAGATGTACACCTAACTTATACTATAGTATGTTAAACTTAGGGTGTACACCTAAGTTTAACATACTATAAAAGCAATTTTAAAACTCGAGTTTTAATACACATTACAGGCAATGATGGAGATAGCAAGGATGCATCCCCTGACCAACAATGTTAACCATTTTTTATCAGGCTTTCCAAAACATCATTGGTGAATATTTTGTGGCCCTGAGGATGGAGTTTCACCAACATTAGTCCACTACTTAATTTTAATTGGATCTTACAACACCATGATTTCTGTATATATATATATATATATATATATATATATATATATATATATATATATATATATATATATATATATATATATATATATATATATATATATATATATATATATATATGTATATATATATATATATATATATATATATATATATATATATATATATATATATATATATATATATGTGCATTTATATGTGTATGGGTATGTATATGTGTATATATATATTTATGTGAACATGTATGTGTGTATACATATTAAAGTACTTTATCTTTATTTTGTTTGTATACTATTTTATTTTATTTTCATTTGATTTTGTTGTTGATTTTATTATATTTTTATGTTTATTATTGTATATCAACAACAACTTTGATAGCTTGATCAGTTAGGACATATGGCGTTAAGCTTCATATTTTTTTAGACTTTGCATATGAGACTGAGCATATGGCATTAAGCTTCATATTTTTTTAGACTTTGCGCATTGGTCATGATTTTCCATTATGAGTCTGTTTAAATTATCATTATTATTTTTTTAATATACACTTTACTTTAGTATCTTTGTTTTGCTCTGAACAGTTGTTCAAAATGTCTTATTAATTTAATTTTTTATCCTTTCTCTTTTCCTAATTTTTCTTTATTTTAGCTGGGCTTGACAGCTCGGTCTACACTTTTTCAAGATGTTATTGAGAACTTGAAAGTTGTAATTAAGAAAAGTAATATGTAATTAAGAAGGTGAATATTGCAATTAAAACACGTTACATTGAGAAGATGAATTTTGTAATTAAGAAAAGTAAAATGTAATTGAGAAGCTAAAAGTTGTAATCAAGAAATGTCAGATGTAATTGAGAAAATCAAAATTGTAAATAAGAAATTGTAAAATGTAAGTGAGAACATGATAGCTGTAATTTAGGAATGTATAAAGAATACAAAGTTCTTGGTATTTTGAATTTTGTAGTCCTCATGTACTTTATAATTTAAGGTTGGAAATAATAATATTATATAAATAAAATATAAAAAGTCATGAAAAAGGCATTTGAGATTTAGGCGGTAACTGGAAAAATCCTATTCGGAGTCAATTAAAACTTTCTTTTATTTATGTTTGTGAAAAATTTAATTGAGATTTCAGATGAATAATAAATAAAACAAAAACTTTTTTTTTTTCTAATTACATATTGCAATTTTTTATTTACATGTTGGATTTCTCAATTACATTTTAAAATTTCCTAATTACATGTTGTGTTTCTTATTTACATATTGCGACTTCTAAATTACATGTTGTATTTCTCTATTACATCTTATTTTTCTTAATTACAACTTTCAAATTCACAATTACATCTTGAAAAAATGTAGTCCTTCGATGCATATTTTTTTTTTTAATTATTAACTAGTGAGCTATGACCATTTCTGTACTAGACTTATATACATAGCCTTTACAATTAAATATACTTTTTGGTTTACCTTGATGAACTAACAATGATGAGGATTCTCTTAAAGATGAACTATTTTTTAGTTATCACCATTACAAAATTAACAAACTGAAATTAACCAATCAAATAAATCATAACAAACTGAGATCGGTTAAAACCACTATTTGTTACATACTTAAATTTAAGTTATTATTTGTTGCAGGTATTAATTTATTGCTCAAAAGAGTTTTTTATTACCTAGAGTTGTTTGTTGCTTGGCCTTAGTTAAATCACTCATATTGAGTAATAATTTTATAGTAACCATAGCACATAAAGAGTGTTTTTATAATTTATTACATAAATATTATTATATAAGTTTTTCCTTACTCAAAAACTTTTTTTTTGTTTGTTTTTATTTTAGATTTATCATTGACTCGAAATGGAAAAGAAAGGAAAGACTGTATTTTAGTGTATTTGGATTGATTTACTATTTGGATATTTTGATTGATTTATTATTTAACCAATATATATTATTTAAAGATAACTTTTCAAGTATATCTATATTGTAAATGCATATAGGGGTATGTAATATAATTATATTATTATGTGCTTGTTTATACTTTATCAAAATTGTTAAAAAAAATTTTTAAATTGTTCATTACTTTACCAATTTATTATTTATTTGTGTATTTGCTGTTAAAAAAATGTAAATCACGGAAAACTTAATACTTTTTATGTGAATCAAAGAAAATTTGTTTTCAGATTTTATTTTCAAAAACATACAATCGATTTTATATCTAAAATATTCACTAGAAATAATTCATTTAAATTTTCATATGAACAGAATAAACTGCAACATTACTTTTGTTTACAAAAACAATCCGGTAGCTGAGTTGCTGCAACTTTTCTGTTGTTTAATGGGAAAAACCTGTTTATTTTTAATGGAGGTATCCGTATATTTACGGAAAAATTTCGGCGGCTCCAATGACCAAACCTTCGATTGTTTGACAAAAAAAAAACATTGTATTTTAACAGAAATATCAGTTTCTTAATCGAAACTTCCGTTTATATGTGAAGGGTTTGTTTATCAAATAACAGATAGTTTAGTCATCGCAGCTGCCTGAATTTTTCCATAAAAAATGTGCTATTTTCTTAAAAGTGTAGATGTGGTTCGGAAATAGAAATTTTCATGCTAGTTTCTAATAAATGACTAAAATAAACAGATACAGTTACATGCATATTTGCTATATCCACGAGAGAATGCTTTGGTTTCTGGAACATTCTGAGCTACTTTTAGAGCCAGAAGATCATTTAAATCCTATATATGGATGATAAATCTATCATAAGTAATTTGTAGTATGGCTGGGTTGGCTAAATATGGCTCGGGAATAGAAATTTTTATGCTGGTATCTAATAAAATGATTAAAGTATTCAGATACGGTTACGTACATAATTAAATATATATAAATACATAAATAGATATATATACATACATATCTACATATATATATATATATATTATATATATATATATATATATATATATATATATATATATATATATATATTATATATATATATATATATATATATATATATATATATATATATACATATATATAAATATATAAACATATACAGGGTCCGCCAAATAACTTTTTTTTTCTTTGAAAATGCTATAAAAAAAATCTACTGAATATTTTCTCAAATATCTTTTTTTATTTGAAAGTACAATCCTTCCGGTTAATAATGGAAAATAATTTCATTCAAGTGGCTGCCTCGGCTGGCCATGCAGTAGCCTACACGATCGGTCTAATTTTTAAGCACATTATCGATTGTGTGCAGCCGTATTTCACCAATGGCTTCACGAATATTGTCTTTTAAAGCGTTAATTGTCTATGGCTTGTCGGCGTAACCCTTATCTTTGAGGGCACCCCACAAATAATAGTCCAACGGTGTCAAATCGCTGCTTCGAGGTGGCCAATTGTCATCAGCTCTGCGGCTAATAATTCGATCTTCAAAAACAGAGCGCAAAACATTGAGTGTAGCTTTGGCTGTGTGGCACGTAGCGCCGTCCTGTTGAAACCAAATGTCCTCCTCTTCAGTTTTTGTGAACAAAAATTTGTTCAACATGGCCCAATAACGATCAGCATTGAATGTAACGGCCACTAATTATGCCTCTGGACCAAAATCCCAACCAAAAAGTGACTCGCTTTGGGTGTATTGGCTTTTCAATGTATGCGTGCAGGTTTTCTGTGCCCCAAATGCGAAAATTTTGCTTGTTTACATACCCGCCAGATCAAAATGAGCTTCATCTGAAAAGATGATTTTTTCGGCAAAATCGGCATCTTCTGTAAGTCGATCGCAGACCCACTCAGCGAAGCAAAAACGCATTGGATGGTCAGTTGGCTTCAACTTCTGAACTTATTGGACTTTGTATGGCATCATACCAAGGTCTTTATGCAAAATTCGTCTCAATGATGTCTCCGAAATGTTCAATTGTTGAGAACGACGGTGAACTGATGTTGATGGCGCTTCACGCACACTTTCTGCCACACCAGCAATATTCTCGGGTGTACCCACTGTTTTTGGCTTTTCACCCTTTGGTTTATCGATGAGAATACCAGTTTCTTTCACTTTTTTAACAAGATAACAAACATACGAAGCTGACAGTGCTTCTCCTCTTCCAAAATCTGTACGCAATTTTCGCACACATTCTGCAACATTGCCATGATTTTCAAAGTAATGTTGCATTATTTCCCAGCGTTGTTCAAACGTATACACAACCATAATCAAAGAATAAAACAAATTAACTGTGAAATCAGACATGAGCTAAGTGTTACCATTCACGAAATAAGCACTAGTTGAAAAAAAATCAATAAAAATAACTTGAAAATAATTTAACTTTAATTTAATTTTTTTTAATTTAAAATTCTTTATAATTCAATAATTCAATTCAAGCGCGTTAAACTCACAAGAGTTTGAGCATAAAAAATAAAATCATTGTAGGATTTTTTTAGCAGTTGTATGTAGTCAAACAAAATATCACAAATTATTTTAGAAAAAATCTTTAACTTACCATTTTAACATTTAAATATATAAATTGTATGTATAAAAAGGTTAATTTACAAAATGTTATAAAAAAATTAAACTTACTAAATTTAAAAAAAAGTTTTAGCATAATACCTCTGCTACTGAACTTCTCTGGCTCATAATACTTTTCTGAACAGCTAAAGTTATATTAATAATAAAACATGCAATACATTTATTTTATGTAGTAAAATACTATACAAGGGGGGAAGGCATTTTAGTGTTATTGTCAACTATAAAAGTTGACAATAACAGCAAAATAAATGATAATAATTATAGATTAACAAAAATTGTAAAATATTTCAATTGACTAGATAATTTGAACTATTAAATGGTTGATAATTACCACTCATAGTCAACTCATGAAGTAAATTAAAAACCTACTAATGATCAGTAAATTAAAAAAACCTTATAATGATCAGTAAGTTAAAAACCTACTAACTTCATAACCTGTATGAAGTTAGTAGGTTATATAATGTAAATTTTCACTTTTTTTTTTTACAGATAAATGCAAATCAGTTTGAGTAAATATTTTTTATAAATTTTTTATTTTTTTTGAAACTTTTTATGAATCAGCATCTCTGAGTGCTGCCACAGAGTTCAGAAAACTTGACTATCAGCAGGCCTCAGAAATATAAAACTGAGTTTTAGAACTGCATACCATTAGGAGATAATAGAATGAGTTGTCTAGTCATAAAAACAAAAAGAAAAAAAAATGAGTTGTCTAGTTATGAAACAAAAGAGACACAAGCAAAACCCATGGATTGAGTCAAGAAGATCCAGCATTTAACATTCTGAACTGGAAACAGTGTATTATAAATACATCTATGCCAGCCTGATAGAAGAAGGGGTGCAAAGGAGGTCAACAGATAGAGTTTGTTTATCCCTCAAGGAGGTCTTCTGCAAGACAGTAGCTGGGTGCATTTAATGTCTTAACAAGATGAGTATTTTTATTGAAACACTATCTTTAGCTAACTCAAGCAAGAGCCTTAAGGCATGTACTTAAATAATAGCACATTTATAGTGTAATTTGTCTATTTATAATTGCAAATTATCTAACTGCATTAGATAACTATTATATGTTTTATCAACAGGATTAAAGCAATAAACATGGTTTCAAACCAACATCTCATCTGTCAAACATGGTTTATGCCACCAACATCTTAACTCCAGCCCTTTGCATTTGGCAACGCCGACCTAACTGCCGAACCTAAAGTGTTTGAGGTTGGCAAAAAATTGTCAATCTGGTTTCTATGTTTTATGGTGAGACTTATGCATCAAGATTTTTTTGCCAACCTAATGTTGACCCCTAAAAGATTGAGAACAACATTATTGCCGCCCTCATTTTTCCTAATTCTGAGGGTTGCAACTCTAATCACCAACATTTTATTGTCAATAACAATACCACTTTCACAAGCAGTGAATAACAATACAACTTCCACAAGCAGTTCTGTCAACATTGTTGCTAAATCAAAAATGGAAACAAACTATTTTTCAACAAAAACATATAAGACAATTGATCTCAAACTAGTACTGCAGATCATTGTTCTACAGATGCAGTGTAATAAGATAGCTAACAATACCTACAGTTTGTTTTCAATTGTTTTTAAAATATAACAGACTAGAGTCAGGAACACATTTATGAATACAGCATGATGTAAAAAATCTGCATAGAAATAAAGACATCCAAAGCAAGCAACTAAGTCTTCATTACCATTAAAATATCGACAGACAGAGGTTGTAAGTATGTAACATTAATGTTATTTTTGTTGTTATTTTTATTATTAACGTAAGCAAATATCCTACATTTCCTACAGCATAGTAAGTGTGAACAATATCAAGAATAAAATATAAACAAAACTAAATAAATAGAAAAGAATACAATAAAACTTAAAGAACATTAAGGTCTTTTAACAATTTTTTAAAAATCAATTTAATCAATTTTAAACAATTAACAATTTGACAAAGAAAGATGCAGCAAACCAAAAAAAGTGCAAACAATACCATAAAACAGGCCAGTTGCTTTCTATCCTAAGCTAAACATTTACAAATATGGACCAAGATTGATGGTAGTTTCATTGCCCATTTCATTTCATATACTATTGTTTCCTTGTAAATTATTTTCAATTAATATTATGCAGAACATTTAGATAAACAAAGACATAATTGACATGACAATTGCTTGAATTCAAAATAGCTGGCTATTAAACTTGAGTGCTTAAGCAAAAATCACTAATTTCCCATTTTTTACGAAATATTTAAATTAAAGGCAAAGTCTGAGATCTTTGCGTCTTTGAAGTAAAACAATAGCACTTAATAAAGTACAAAATTAGTCAAGTTACCAATCAATCAACTAAGTACCCAATTAACTATTTTACCAATCAATCAACTAAGTACCCAATTAACTATTTTACTATTTTATATATTTACCCAATTAACTATTTTACTAATTAACTATGTTACCAATCAATCAACTAAGTACCCAATTAACTATTTTACCTATTCAGCATTAACGTTATTTTGAATTTTATTTTAACATTACTATATAAAAAATAATTATAAGGTCATACAACACGCAAACCATTTGGCATGTGTTGTGTACATTTGAAGGACCCTGTATTTCAGTTTTGAGCTGTCACTTTTTTATTCAGCATGTGTGAAACAAACTGGTTAAGTGTTTGTTAAACAATACTGTGATAATACCATTCATAGAGTTTGCTTAACAAAAAAAAAATTGTATATGTTAGTATATCTGTCAATAATGGAATTCAAAATAGGTTTATGTTTTTGACATCACAATTAGACCATAGAAGTAACAATAAATTGTAAATTATTATGTGGTGTAACTTAAAAAACTTTTGATTTTCAAAACAGTAAAATAGCTGTAATATGAGGGTTATGACTTTTTATCAACCCCATGCTCATATACTGTAGTTTGATGAACTTTTACCTAAAAAATGAAACAAAATGAACTATTATTTGCATATCTTTTCAAAAAAAATCACCCTGTCATTGAAAAATCGATTTTGACATAAGTACAAATAGGTATTCAAATGTATTTAGAATGTCATAGTCATGAAGGATAGATTAGGGTAATATGAGCGCCTTAAGCAAAAATTGGAATATTTTCAAAAATAAATATGCTGGATCCAAAATTTTTGCAAATAAACAATTTTTAGGGATCCCTATTCATAATCTATTTAGATATTTGGGCACTTGACATTTTTTCTTAAAAACACAGAGGTATATTATAAAAGTAGCAAAAGTGCTCATATTACCCTGACCCCTTGGTAATATGAGCACTTTAAATTAGCTCAAAAAAATAGCATTAATTAAGTAAAAAAAGACCAACCTGCTTAATAGAACTAATTGTTTGAATATAAGGATTCGTGATTAACAAAACATATCATTAAAAGATCAAATTTTAAGCTATATTTTGTTGAAAAAATACTACTATGTTTTCCGCCAAAAAAAAAAATTAATACATTGTTTTTTCAATTTTGTTAACTCAAACCTTTGAACAATAAAAATTAAAATTTTTTAGAATTAAGTTACAGAAAAATATTTAGTATTGTTAATATATTAAAATTTTTTACTATGTTTTGTTTTTATTCAAGAAGCAATTAAAAAACCTATTTGCTATTTTAGGACTTTAAACTAAGCAATTTCAATGAAAAGCACTGGGTAATTTGAGCATGCTCATATTACACAAAAATGGTATCTTTAAATAAAGTCAAAAATAAATGTTTCTATGCATTATTTTTCAAACAAAAATGAATTGGATTTTTAGCTAATATATTTTTCTTTATGAAAAAATTAATTTCATTATTTTAGCACCAAAATATCGCGCCACAGAATTATTCACGCGTGATGATTTTTTTTAACAAAGCAAAAAATTTAAAAGCGTTTTAATTAGATGATATCCGCTAATTACTACGTATAAATTTACGCTAATTGTACTGATTCCTGTTATCACCACATAAAGTTGATTCGAAAAACATAAAACAACTTTAACTTCACTGCTTACCTCTAATAAATCTTTAAGTATGCTCATATTACCAAGGTGCTCATATTACCCTAATCTACCCTAACACAGTAAATTTTCAATCCAACAATGACTCAGACTATTGACCTTGCTCTTGCCTGTTGCACAGAAAGAATTGAAGGTGCAATTTGTCTTTATTTTTGCATGATGAATAAGTTTCTTACATTACTTTGATTGCGCCTTCTGCGCATTGATTTTCTGGGTATCTGTAGTATGGGTGGCTCTCGCTTCCAGTGATTTTTCAAAGAGTTAAAGCTTTTTTGTATGGACTCAGTATTTCAGCCAAGTAATTAAAGTCGTTTTTGTGGTATAGTTGGTCTGTAAATCCACAGTCTGCCCAGCCATACGATATAAATCGACTCTCTGCAGAACTGTCCTTGTTGAGGAAATTAAAATGAAGGCCAGGATTGGTAGTAGAAAAATGTCATAGGAAAATGTCCCTTTTCCTCAAAAAAACAGAACACTCGAGTGAGATTAAACAATAATTTCATATCATCTCTCCAGCCCGATGTTTCAAGAATTACTTCTGTTCCATTTTCAAACTGTGTTTTCAGTTGTTCGTACTCCTTCAACAGTTGATATACAAATGGAAATTCAGTGTTTGGCGATTGTTTTTTACTTCCAAGTTCTTCATCTATCACTAAACGGAGGATTCTATCTAGAATACATGGTGTTGACAACTGATAAACTGAGGTTTGTTGATGGGCATTAAAATCACCAACAACAACAATATTGGCAGAGGGGTAAAGAGAGAGGGCATGGTCAATTTGATCAGAGATAACATCTAAAAGATTGAAATCATGGGAAGAAGGAGAACAATAAAGAACAAAGAGAAAGGTGATAGAGTGAAGAGGTACTAGACAAAAACACATAAAAGAATGGTCAAAGGATTCGAACCTGATTTCACGACAAATAGGGGAATTAAACCTAGCATGTGACTATTGGAGTCTTTACGAATCAAAGGATAGTACCCATCAACACTGACATCTGAAGAAGGAATTGCAGAATTTAAATTTGTTTCACTGAGTGCAAGCAAGTCTGGTGAATCTTGCAGGAGGTAAGACTCAACTGACGAAAAGTTGCTTCGCAGACCGCGAATATTTGTAAAAGATATATTAAAACATTTAGGTGGTGGGATGGTTTTTTAGGTTTAAAATTTTTGGTTACTTTGGTCATGATTTGGGTTTAATGAGAACTTGACTCATTCATAGATAGAGCACAGCCTCCTAATCAATGAGCTATGCAGTTGTCTCAGTCCTGTTAATTAACCCTAAGCCGTGACATAGGGCTCCTTATGTGGCCTTGACAATGCACACCAAAAATATTAACAGGGACACCATCCATGCACAACATGACACTGTTAATACTCTGATATTTTGCAGCTGTTGATGGAATCAGCCTCTCTGAGAGCTACCACAGAGTTCGGGAAACCTTACTACCAGCCAGCCTCAGAACTATTAAACTGAGTTTTAGAGCTGTACCTTTGCCTAGGAGGCCTTCTACAAGACAGTAGCTGGATGCAGTTAACATCTGCCCAAGATGAGTGTTTTTATCAAGATACCATCTCTAGCCTTTACTCAACCAAGAGCCCCAAGGCAGGGGAATATTTTTAGTCGGAGTTTATTTCTCCTAGACTTTGCCTAAGAAGAGCACATTCTGCAAGGCAGCAGGGCTTGTGGCAGGTGGTACTGTTTTACTTGATATCAGTAGCAAGATTGATCTTGATTATCCTGACCTGATCTGGAGTAGTTAGTACTTTGAGAAAACCAGGCATGACATTTTGAAAGTACATAAGGAAAAACACTGCATCTAACAAAATACAGGAGTCTAAGGTGAGTGTAGGTTTTGTAGTTAGAGTAAGTAGCTAGTTACTGAGCTCACGCTGCATCAGAGAATAAACAGAACACAAACAAACATAAACATAAATCAACTTAAGGGTGAGTCAACACTGACAGAACACAAACATACATAAAAAACATAAAGTAACTTACGGGTGAGCGAACACCGCGCCAGAGGTTCAGACAGAACACAGACATACATAAAAAAACATAAAAAACATAAAGTAACTTATGGGTGAGCGAACACCGCGCCAGAGGTTCAGACAGAACACAAACATACGTATAAAGTAGATTACAGGTGAGCTAACACAGTAACTAAGGCACCTCCAACTATATAAAAATTAAAAAATAAAAAATAAAATTACTATAGGCATGACTGATATAAGATAGTACTGATGACAGGAAGCACACTGCTTCCAGCCTTTGCTTAGAAAGCAAATCCTGCAAGGCAGCAGAACATGGAACAGGTTGCATTGGGTTACATGTTAGCAGTAGCAGGATAATCATGAAGACCATACTCCTGACCTGACAAAATTACCCTAAAGGTTGTGGCTATACTGATCCAAAAATACTAAAG